ACTCAAATGTTTTCTACTGTTGCACTGAATAACCCCTAGAAGTTTGATCCCATAGTTCTGAAACACCCTGTATATACACATGTATATATACATATATATATATATATATCTATATATATATATATATATATACACATGTGTATATCGAAGCTTTGACTTTAAGAAAAGGAAATTATGCAAAAATTTCTGCAAGGCAAAATAAGTCATGCAATATTGATTCCATACAGTCGGATTTTCACGGCATTATTATTTCGCTATCATCGTTACTTTTCTTGTATGGTGTGTCTAATTTTGCGAAACAAAACAACTTAAAAAAAAGTTAATCTTTAAATGCACACTTGAAATTAAAAATAGTTAATCTCTTTAAAAATGCAGAACAAGTGTTATATTTTATTATAATTTTGTTATTGTTGAAAACAAAAAGAAATGATATTTCTCTCTCTTCACAGTTAAATGTATTTAAAGATTTACGCTAAACACAAGAACTTCGAGATTGAATATGAAAAAACAAACGATTCTAGAAATCGTTTCTTCGATATATATATATATGTATATACTATAATCGGATTTACGCAATTTATCCAAGGAGTGTCGAGATAATTCTCTATTATAGAAAAATTGTATTCCTAAACAACTCCACTTGGGCCAGAAAAACCATATCGAGTGTATATTCTTTCGCACAACGTCCCAACGATTCACGAAACAGTCACATATCGATTGAGCGCGTCGCAGGAGAGTTCGAAGTGTCAAAGGGAAAAACAGTCGAACTCGCAAGGTGATATCAAGTACGTCACTCACACTTGCAACTTCATTTTGTGTGCGCGCGAGTGCGGCATAAGAGGGATTTCGTATTACGCACGCCACATCTTGCACATGGACGAAATGAGAATGTGTTCCACATTTGTGTGTGAATGCATTGAAACAGATAAAAAAAAGAAAAAAAATAGAAACACAATAATAATGTACGTATGTTCCTTTTGGTGATGAAACACTGCTCGTACAATATAAGCAAATCGTGCAATATTCGAATGTATTATTCTCATGCAATAGTTCTCTCGACTATGAGCAGCTATTCTCAATCGAAATCTCGAATGGAATTAAGTTCGCGCTTGATGCCTCACAAATTTCACGAAAATATCAACATCCTATTGTATAATTGTGTGTGTAATAATAAAAAAAAAAAAAATCACAAACATATTTACAGAAAATTCAATATTTGATCGAATGTTTTGTTTCTCGAGAGAGAGGCATGCAAGTAATTGTTTGTTGTGCATTCCTTCTATAATGTATCCATGGAAACACGTGAATACACAGTAAAAAATTGTGCGTCAAAATGTAGAACTTTTCTTGTGTTACGACGTTTTGATTATTACTTCAATGTAAAATTAACATAATACTGATATGTTATTATTTTTTTAATCTTTTCACGTGTCAAATTTATGTTAACTTCACAAATTAACATTTTTTGCATGTCATTTAAAAATGGAATATTGTTTAAGTGCTTTTAACACAATGATTTCAATTAATCTAGATGTTTCAAAGTCAATTTAACACACTGAAAAAATTTTTCAAATCTTTGGCCACATTGTACAAACTAAAATGTTTTATTAACATTTCTTACGAGTTACTGTAACTATTGTTTTGTGCAGTTTTAATTATTTTATATGTTATTTTTACATCACGCTTACAGTCAAAATAACAAATATAAATGTAAAGTATTGTGTCAATTATTTAACTTTACTAGTTTGTCAATAAGTGACTCACAACGAATAAGTTGTTTTAACTTAAAATTTAGAGTGGACCTCCTGGGACATGCAAAAAATGTTAAAATTAACATTTTTTTTTTTACTGTGTACAAAAGCGATGAATACAAACGATCTTGTTATTCAAGCTCTTCCTCCAGCGCAGATAATAATTTATTGGAGGAAGTGTTCTTTTTTTGTTCTCTCTTTTTCTCTCTCTTTCTCCCTCTCTCTTTTCGGTAATTTATACCAAATGAGCAAAGCGACTCAAGCTACGGAGAAATGGCGATGATGATAACACTTTTCGCATGGATACAATTCTCATTTCAACCCAAAAACACAAAAAAAAAAAAACTGATTACGATACGGCGCCAAGTGTGCCTTGCCACATTCCCGTATCGGCACACTCGATTTCTCGCACGTAATACATCGCACGATGTTGTGTGCAACAAAAAAGAAACAATGCATTTTTCATCCCTGAGCCAGAGTCGTGAAGTGTGAAACTCGAGGTTTCGCGTTCCTTTTTGTTTTGTAAAGGTCAAAACAATAATAAACTAACACAATATACTACAGTAAGATTTTTTTTCGAATGTGATAATAAAACCTCTTAGATCTTAGTTTTAAAAAATTTCAGTTCAAAATGTTATTGTTTAATACTTTACTCCATGTAACATATTTTTAAAATATATTTTATTATAAACAATATAAGAACAAATAGAACAATTTGAAATGCTCAAAAAAATATTCCCACGACTCTGGTCGGTGATCAACAAAAAGCTTTCACACGTCACACGACTTACCTTAGACAGCTTCTCGCCCTCGTGGTGCGGCAACAATGTCCTCAGAGATTGAAAACCAGCATTGATGCTCTGCATACGACGTCGCTCGTTGCTGTTGGCGATTTCTCGCCGCATTCGCTTCTCCTGCTCCATGTGGCTGCGCGGCGTGACACGGCCGACGTTGCTGATACCGTTGCTGCTGCTGTTGTTTAACACAACGTTCTGACTGGCAACTCGTCGGCCAGTCCCAACGTTAGCCTTGGACTGCGGCGGCGGTTGCTGTTGCTGCGGTTGCTGCTCTTGAGTATCAGCAACCTCGGCGACTGTCACGCTCGTGGTCACCGATCCGTCGTCCACCGTCTCGACGCTTCTGCGAACAAGTACATTATAAAACGCATAAATAATATTTTCAGTGTACCTAACAAATAATTATTATTTTACACGTAGTAAAAAAAATTATATGTTACATGTAGCGACAAGAGAATAGTATAATATATAAATTCAATTTGTTTAATGATTATATTTTAAAATTGAATCTCGGAGAAATAATAACAGTAACAACAACACGATAAATACAACACGACTTCAAATGTAAACTTAAATTAAAAAATAAAACTTTGTAGCCATACGCTGAATGTACGTGCAAAATATATAATTTTTATCATGTAAATTAATATACACATAGAAAATTCGAATTAAATAACAATTTTAAAATTCATATGGGATGCTTTACTTTGTACCACATACATATGAAAATTACCCATTTAATTTCCCAATGACATATAAAAAAAACTTCAATGCGAAATAGATATCTTGACCAGGAGTCGAATCTCTCGTATTTCGTGCATTGCTTTCCCAATTTGGCCACGCCAAAACATTTTAGAATTGTTATTCAATCCGAATTTATGTATATTCTATGTATATTCAATTCTCACGTTAAAAATATATATTTCGCACGTACGTATCCAGCGTTTAAAGTCCATATTTTCTTGATTTCAGAGAAATGACATTACTTCTCGCAGAAAACTCGTATATTTCCGACGATTTTTCAAGCCTCGCGCATTTTACACGAAAACGCTCCGACGCGAGTATTTATTAAAGTGCGCGATATAGCCACGATCTTTGAACTCTTGTGAATCTTCACGGCACATTTGTATAATTTATTTTATTAGTTACCCCATACACGCAATTGAAGCCGAGTCTATCGTTGTTATTATGAGGAAAGAAATTTCCGTCGGAGAGACGATAAACATTCGCGCAAGCAAAGTGTTTCAGCAGGAATATCAAAGAGACAGAGAGCCGAATCAAAGCGTCGCGACAAGAGCTCGCGTCAACACACCGCGTACTCGCGCGTTTGACGCACAGTATATCGCCAAATTTTCCAGCGCGGTTGAGATCGCGAGACTATGCGGGCGGGACACACGTCTCCGTAGAGGGCTTTTAAGAAAATTGAAAGGGAAGTAGTGATGTGTTTTTTCTCCCCCGCTCTCTCGTGCGTTTTTATTTTGACGAACGCGCGCGGTAGACGACGACGACGACGACGACGACGGTGGCGGCGACGGGACTTATGGACGGTTGAATTCGCGGTCAATGAAGCGGGACATCATTGACGCTTCTCAGCGGCGACTTTCAAAGACCTTCGCGACGTACAAGCGTGTTCCTGTCCGAAATCTGTCTTTTGACAGGTCATTAAAATCTGTCAACACAATTATGTCTTCTCGTACCGTAAGAGTTTTTTACAAACGTAACTCTTACGCAATGAAGAATCAAGATCACACAATTGCGGATGAAGTGCGTGCGAAGTTAGCATCCGCGACAATTCCGTGGCTCTCCGATTAGAGAGAGTTTCACACAGCTTTATGTGTTAAAGAGACTACACGACGAGTTCCCTATAATAATTGGAACGGTAAATTAAAACGTTATGGTTTCGCCATTTCCGTCCTATGTAATTTCGCATTAACGGCGCGGCTTCGTTATAGATCGTCACGCAAATAATAGCAACATAATAACACACATAGGTGCATATACGCTATCGGGACATCGCAAAACAGAACCTCATCACAATGTAAAGATAAGCACGTTGTAAGCACGCAATTACGTCGCGTGTAAACATAAAGCTTGTTCAAAGAGCGAAAATATTCGTTGGCAAAACTGTTTAGAGATAAATTGCACATGTCTTCAATAAAACGCCGCGATCACGGCATTAACATAATGCGAGCGTGAGCGCGATTAACGGAAATCAACAGATATATTACCAACGATACTTCTCTCAACGTCATTTCGAGCTAATATTTGTTTCTGAAAACACGAATAGAGGCTCGATAATGTTCTGTATTAAACCCGATAACGCGGAACAGATTTGCTCGCGTCGAGTCTGTTCGAAGTTATATACTCGTCGTACCTATGTTTGATTGTACGTTTCCAGCTTAATCCCGAGAACTCATATAAATGAGTTTGCGAAGTTCTTAAATAATGCATTGCTCATTTTGCATTGCATTGTAGATCTTAAGCTGTAGGTAAAATCAAGTGAATAAGAAAAACAGCAACCAGCTGGGAAAATTATACGGTAACGAGCGGCGATAAAAAAAGCAATGGGAAAGAAAGCTGCAGGAGAGGAACTGGGAGGGGGAAAGATTGAGATGGCGGATAAAACGCCATGAGGATGACTCAGCAGAGAAGACCGTGACCTTGCTTGCCCCGAAACGCTACGTATCGATAGTACGACCAAATGTGAGAACCTGTGTTTTCACAAGGAAAAAAAAAACACGTTCTCGGATTCGGTTTCAGTTATGTATGTAATGCGATCGCGCCGAAGATTTCTCTCTGGAGTGTATTTTGAGCACGAAAAAAAAAAAAAAAAAAAAGAAAAAAAAAAGAAAGAAAACATTAAATCACGTTAAAACGATACTGGATTTTAATTGTGCATTTAAAATTAGATTTGACAAATTTATAGAATAATTTTGGAATGATCAAACTGAATTAAACGAAAGAACGACGTGATGTGTGGCAGGAAAAGAATGTATAAATTAAAAAATTACCGACAATTATGCAAATAAGCATGTTTTCGAAAACTATAAGAACAGTTACATTGTTTATGGATCGTATTAGCATAAAATTGTTCAAAGTCAGCAAAAGCGCCTTAAATCTCACGATGTTTTATTGATTACATGTCACCTGTCCGTCGTCGTGGTTTTTCTTTGGCTGAAATATTAACAGTTACTCATTCGCGTACATGTCACTTCGTAACCGCGAGTCGCGTAAAACTGAACACACAAAGGCATAATCATACATCATGCACAATGTAACAGCTCTTGTCACGACCGTATGTGTCAAAAGTTTTTACAATGACCAAAGTGTGCGTTGTAACAAAGTATTATTCGCGTTTTTAAACGCTCGTTTTGCGTATTAGTCGCATTGTCGTTATCGTCCCGAAAACGAAAATAGTATCTTCGCGAGAGACACGTCGCGCCACATCATCGACGTTCATGAAGCAAGCCAGAACGAAGCGTCGATGACGTGGTCAGTCATTTCACGCCCGATGAAGTCACTCGTCTATAATATTTTCACGTCAATTCCGGCGTACGCCTGTCGGCTCGTCATCGTCATCGTCGTCGTCGTCCAGTCACTAATCATCCGCGACAACAACTCTCAATAGATCCACGCGCGTCCCATATTACATGCGTTTAATATAACAAGTAACATATCGCACTTTCGAGAAACAATCGCCTTTTCGCGAGCGATAAAAATGACAAATCGCCGAAAATTGTTCGTCGAAGTGACACACACACAGACGAGAGAATGGAATCGGACCGCGGCGGCACATTCATCGGTGATCATTCATAACGGCACGTGGTGCTTGGTCCACGGGACCAGAAATCCACGTGGCGTTACTCTCATCGAGTGGTTATATTAGATCAGCTGGTACGTCGGCGGCTTGCTGGCTGGATGGTTGGCTGTCGTGACGTCAGCTCGTTCGTTCGCCGGATACCCGCAGCGCCGCTCGCTCGGCCGGATCAGTTGCGGCGAAGTAGGTCGGCGAGAAGAGCCACCTTCCTTTTCGCCCTGAAATCCTGTTACCCGTGTCGAGGGAAAACGCGCGCGCTAGGCCTCCATAAGCCTATATTTATTCGTGTCTTTCTCTCTTTTCCCCCTCTTTCCCCTCTACCCCTTCCTCTCTCGATTCATTTCGTATCCGGAGTTCTCTTCGGTATCTCTGTCATATCACTTTGTACCTCCCAGTTCAATAATCTCTCATATCCTGCCGACTCGTACGTCGCTTCCGATATATTCGTTCTCTTTTGTGTAATAATAGTCTTATTATTACACTGTGCTTTTTTTAAAAAAATTTTTAAGAACATCGAATATTCAATGCGTAAGTTTAATGTAACTCCTCGAGGAATTTCGTATTACGTTTCTTCTATTCGATCAATGATAAAATTTATTCTTGACTCATTATCTCGCTGTGATTGTATCTCTTAATAATCGATCGATCTAAATTGGTCTTCGCCAATCTTTCGATTTGCTTTGAAGTATGTGTAAGGTGTATATAGTCATATCTCAGTGTAACTAATTCTTGCTTATGCTGATTGCATTACTTTTAAACGTAACTAATTACTTAAACTGATTACACCATTTCGTGAGCACAAATTATACACAACTGTTATTCTCTGTTTTTTTTTTCTCTCCAATAATTGTACTCGTAGATTTCAACGGAAGAATACAGCTGATTAATTATACGCGGTTGTGCCACGACGCGATAACCGACAGTCCAATCCCGCAAGAGATAAATTTTTTTCAAGGTTACAACAACCGACATTCTACACATACCAACGAATTGTTGCCGATAAGAAAAGTTTGAAAAGAAAAAAAACCGTTTGAGCTTGGAGACGCGACATAAAAATATTCAATGTCAACAAAAAATGTAAAGCAAACGACAACGCTTCGTTAACGAAAAACTTACGTGAGAATAAAATATATCGAAGAAACACCGGCCAAGGTTAATTTCTCTTAATGGCAGACTGCTCAAACATCGATTAGCCATATGGTATCACAAACAGCTTTATATATACTACACCGTATTTCTGTCATCGTAGTATATATGTTACCGACAGCCGCCGGCGATTTATATATACGTATATATATCTATATATTTGCCAGCAAATATGAACAACATGGCATCCGCTGTGGACGCGCGGTTAGTTCTAATAATAAACTCCCGTGTTGACGTTGATTGCATTAAAAACGATTAAAAAGAGCAAAGAATAAATAAGATCGACGATAAAGTAGTACCGTCTTTTTTTTTTTTTTTTTTTTTTTGAGTACAGACGTAGATTGACAATGGATACAGACGGAAAAAAAGCGTGTGTGTTG